GTTGTAGTGGTAGGTACTGGGGTCGTTGTAGTAGTAGGTACCGGAGTTGTTGTAGTGGTAGGTGCAGGAGTTGTTATAGTAGTGGGTACCAGACTTGTTGTAGTGGTGGCTATAGGTGTCGTATAACTAGTTGATGCAGAAATTGTTGTAGTGGTAGGTTCCGGGGATGTCCATTGACTTTGTCGGCAACTTGGCTACGGATTTATACAAGAATTATATAACTCAATGCATTCAAAAATCACTCATTGATCTTATACAGTAATTGTTAGCCAGTAAAAAATTTTAAATTTCATATTTTAAAGTACCGCAGCTTTTGTCGAGACTGTACAAAATCCACTTTCCGCATTCAAATCGCAGACAGTGCCCGCTGGACAATAGGAAAGTGACTCATAATGTGGCACACCGTCGGAAAAACAGAACGCGATGGTCGTCTCATTAAGGCATGCATACAAATTATTCCTGGATGCGCAAATGCCGCATTGAGATGATTCGTCGATAGTTGAATTAGTGCAACTTGCAACTGACGAGTTACTTGGATAACAAACATACACATCGCTTGTACATATATAATCTGCGGGGCATGTGACGAAATTCATAGTTGGTTGATCTGAATTCCAATTAAACAGGACCAATTAGTATTCAAGTTAATTACTACATTTTAAGAATACAAAATACAACAAAATAAAATTACCGTTAATGCAAAGTGAATAGACTGTTTCGCTGTGACAAGCAACAGGATTGTTAGTGTTGCACACATCGCACTCGCCATGCACGCCACCAAACGCGAGTGCCTTGTGAAAAAAGAAAATACAGCAAGCTTTCTCAGGACTACATTGTTCTTACCTACCACAAGAAAGAAAATGACTTCGCTTATTTGCTTCATTTACTTGGCTTTAACTGCAAATGCTGACTGAGTTTGCAGCGCCGATTTGGCAAACTTTAAACACGATAAAGCCAGTGTCAACGGGAAATGGCTGATAGAATAATACAGAGTAAACACAAATACATATGTAGAACGATATATATATTTTTATTTGTTATACACATATATATATGTTTATGTATATTTCTATGGGCCAAATAACAGTGTACGAAGACCCAACCTCATTAATTTATTATCTGCCAAAAATTATGTTTAACTGTTGCCATAAAACTATATATATATATATATATATATATGTTACAGAACAATAATAATAAATGATATTTAAATAACGTTTCTTGCGGAAGATAATATTTGTCATTAAATCTCATATCGAGACTTTTAAAATTTACCATCGTGAAGATTAGGCACATATCAATATGTACGTGGTGTTGCCATACATTTGCAATCTTATCCAAATGTATTGGTTGAAAATTAATATCTTTAGTGCTACATAAATGCAGAATGGCTACTTTACCTTCAGTTATCCAAACCTACAATTTATAAACAATTAAAAGTGGATCACCATATCCTCAAAAATAAAAAAGGCGTTTTCAAGGTAGTGTCCACTCTAAGCACCTACAACTGCTGTGAAATTGAGTTTACTAGAAGCCAGTAGGTCGCTTGACCTCTGACGGCTCACTCTGAGCAAGAAGAATATTACAGACGTAAACATTTTAGTTGTTACCCAGTGCTGGCCGATTTTACTGGAGGTTCCGGGCTAGAGCGCAACAAGTCAGCGAGAATATCGACTGGCTTCCAATCGGATGAAAATTGTGTGAGAATGTCCTCCCTAGTATACTCATCGGCTTTGCAGTTTCCTCCCAATTTTTCAAACTATATTTATACGGAACAGTCTTGCTGCTATTACTAATGAGATCATACATTCCTTGATAGCTAACTTGATAGCAACCACCTCCACTTTAAAGGGGCTACAGTAGTATGGTAGCCTGAAACTAGATTGATGAACAGCTGAAGATCCATCACTTTTCAAACGTCTTCGGCCCGGCCACAAATCTCTCGCAGACGTATGGATAGAGAAACAGCAGTCAAGGTTTCGCGATGGAGATGTAGATTATAATGCAGCTTCTCTATGCCTAATAGCTGCTTTCGTCTGCTGGCTATGCCTAAAGATACTGGTAATGTCCTTAATGCACCACAGATGTCAATGATGACCGTACTTTAAACACGGTCTAGCTTCTTAGCTGGTTTGGTTTTTTCAGCGCCTTAAACCAGACAACGACCCAATAAAACTGTATTGACCAAACTACGTCTTCAAAGAAGCAACTCGCAACTTACCCAATTACTCTTCTAAAACAATAATGTTTGGCTTTCATGAGAGCTTATTATCAAGAAAAGTCCCCAAGCACTTCACTCTGTTCATCGATTGAAAGGTAGAGTCACCCAACGAGGGGAGAGTAACATTTCCTAGTAAAAAAAACTAGCTCAGATTTAATTTGATTTATGTTTAATCCATTTCTATTTGTCACTTGGTGAAATATAGATAATCTTAGGATATCGTAATTGATGTTTATACATTTTTCTTTAATAAGTGCTGCAAGTTCCTTGGAACTCGACACCAAACATTTAGATCTAAAGGTTTCTTCAGAAAATCAACGGACACTGTCAAATTATATAAGATTTTGTGTATAAACCGAGTTCAGATGGTAATTTTCAGAAGAAATTGTCCCACTATGAATGGAATTTAAGACTATTCAACTTTTTTTAAATGTTGACTTAAAAATTATACAATAATATAAAGTCAAGTTAGCTAAGAACTTGGTAGAGAATTCAAAAAATATTTTAAATTCCTATCGAGGAGTAGTTAAACTATATGTCAAAAGCTCGTTTAATTCAAGTTTGGTTCCTATACCTTCTAAAAATGTTACCTATGTTCTTATGTCATGCCATTCAATACGACGTTATATGCAAAGTGGACAGACTTTATTGCAAAAATCAAGAAATTAATCCCCAAAATATTATTAATTTTTCTATCTCATGAATACAATGTGTTAGATAACATTTTTTATCAATTGGTGTACTCCTTAAAAGTTTACCTTGCTCTGTCGGGTATCAAAGTGAATTGCGGGCTCGCGATATCTAAATATGGAAAAAAAGATCGGCGTTTGCTTTTTTGAAAAATTTTCAGATATTTTCAGAGAGAGTCTCAAAGTTTTCTACCACATTTTTTACCACAATATAAAACTGATTACTGGCAACACTAAAATAAATACACTATAATAAATAATAAACACTAAATAAATAATAACATAGCCATAAAATATTATATGAACGCCATAAATATTCGCGCTCATTTGCGCGCTAGGTGATAAACGGATATGAAATGACTAACCTATAAAATATTTGATGAGATACCAATTGATTTTTTCTGGTTAGTTCCCCATAACCATAAGTATCTTCTCAGGTATAGATAAATTTGTATACTAGCTGAAAGATATATAATTTCAAGACATTGTAAATTTAGATAGCAACGCAAATGTTTATCTCCTTAGCCGAATCCACTATATCGAAGACGGTGCGCAAATAAGACGCAAGCACCACGATTTTAGATTTCCATTTTTTTTTTTGTTAATTCGTTCCTATATTATCTCTCTCATCTATCTCAAAATTTAATAGCTAGCAAATATACCGTTATGAATTGAAAACAATAACAATTTTGATGTGAGGCAAGTTGGCCATTTTTGTGTGAACGAAGCGAAATGAAAAGATAGGATTATGAATGCGGCTTCCTCGTTTCTGTTTTTTATTTTTTCGAAAACAAATAAAGCATGAAAGGAGGTGACAGGTTCAGATGAAATCAAGCATATTATGCTCTTGTGATTTGCATACATCAAAGGTGGGGGAAATAAGTGCCAAAACGATGGACAGCGGCGAATCGACTCTCGCGTACACTCTCAGCTACGGCTGCTATATTTTCTTCACTGCGAGCTGGGCGTGGACTATTCGATCGAATATTATCCAATAAAGAATGCCGTGTCTCAAGATGGGTAGTGGTGTTGCAAATAATAAACTCAGTAGGCAGATTATGTTAACTATAAGTTGAGCGATGCGCGCGAATACATTCTTTACAGAAGGTGAATCCATGATGAATCGCCAAACAGCGTTATTTGTTATTTGAACTATTAACAAAAGTAAAATTGATATAAAACTGTGGGCAAAAAATAGTACGAAATTTCGACCGAAAGTCCATTGGTCGAATGAAGGTTGATCGAGGAACAATCGACCGAATCGTGACAAAGATAAAAAGCATAAAAAACACGCCAGAGCAGGTTAACAATTTTCATCGATTATCCAGATTTGGTGAACTTCGAATTTCTTCCGTCCAAACTTATGAACATTAGGTATATGGGGACTAAGGGTACAAACATACCATTGTCGGTGAAGTATTCTGAATTTCAATTATATATCTCCGATATTAACTGATATGTTCGAACAAAAGTCAACTATAGGAACAGGGGTCTAAATATTTGGTACATAGGGGTTTGAAATTTTTTTGTTGGATTTAAACAATTCTTAGTCTTAGGATGGCTCACATCAAGGACAGTATTAGTGCAAAGTTTTATCCAGTTAGATTAATTGTTTCTTGATTTGTCGCGCTATTAGTAGTTTTGAAAAGTACCGTTATGTGGGCAGTGAACAGGGCTTCTTCCATTTTCAAACTATAGGAGTTCTTATAATATTCGTGCTGAGCGAATTTGGTTATTGTAGCTTAAGTAGTTTAGGAGATACATATGGACATTAAACATATCAGAGGGCGATCTTCTTCGATCCTCTGTACCAAGCAGCCATATATAATTACACCTTTATATCTCAATTAATTGCTTAGTTGTGGGACTTCATGTGTTTTCGGTTAATGTCGATTTGTGGGCGTGACAGTGGTCTGATTACGCCCATCTACTAACTCGAACTAAGTTTCATCAAGATATCTCAATTTTTACTCAAGTTACAGCTTGCACGGACAGACGGATGGACAGACAAACAGTCACCCGAATTTTAAATTTTCTTGTGTTCCTGACCATTTAAAAAAAAAAATATATAGCATATAACTCTGTATATATCTATATTAGTTTTACGTGATACGTGCAACTGTTAGGTGAAGAAAACTATAATACTGTGTACCAACTGGTTTGCAGGAGTATAAAAAGAGACAGGAATTATGAGCCGACAACTCTTGGTTTTTGCACTTTTGCACCGCAGTAATGCACCGTCGAATACTGCATTGATTCTTCGTGAGTTCGTAAAACTTTCAAACAATATCGTGCCCCAACCACCGTATCCGTCCGATTTAGCTCCGGGTGACTTCTAGCTATTCAGCAAACTCATACGACCGCTTCGGCGAAACCGTTTTGAGTCAATTGAAGATATTAAACGTGCATCGTTACGCGCATTGTAGGCTATTCCGAAAATAGATTTTAACAACTATTTCGATGATTGGAAAAAACTTTGGCACAACTGTATTAGATGCAAGGAGGATTACTTTGAAGAAGATGGCATAGATTTTGAAGAATACATCCAAGAAGTTTACAATTGTGAACAGAGTCTGACTACTTTTTACTCATGGTAGTATAACACTTTAATGAGGTACACACTATATTTTACTAATTATCCTGTAGCTAGAGTTCATATATCACTCGTTGACTAATCACTAATTACACAATTACAATTGTTGATATAGAGTACATCATGGGTAATCTGATCCAGTTAATTTCCTATGTTTTTATATATTAGTACTGATTTATTTACAAGAATTATGTCATAGAATATATTTCTAACGGTACTACATATCATATACGCATTGCAAAATTAAATTATACGAACACAAATCAAATTAAATAAACTACACATATTTATAGAGTAAAATGTAGACTTAAATATTGTATTATTCACAGACTAAAAACGACGCAGTTACAGTCTTCTTTCAAAGTGAGCAATTATAAAGGCTGCTACAGAAGCTCAATGAAGAATCAAAGTATTGTCCATTTGGGCATTTCAGTTCTTTCGTCTTCCATTCGCCGTTTACGTTATAACAATTGATGTAACTAAAATTTATCGATTTATTAAATGTTAATAGCACCAAAGCTTGGTTCCCAGCTTACCTGGTGCAATCCATATCAGATGGGTCGACGAAGAAGCCGTTGGCTGCTTTTTCCGTGCAAAAGTCTGTGTTAGTTTGGCTATTCGAATCATATGGAGAAATGCCCACAGGAACTCCTCTTGCAAAGGCGATAACGAATAATATCTGTCGGAACAATATATAAAATTATTTCGGTTGTATATTATATAAGATAGCAAGCTGAAACCACCGTGCAAGTAAGTATGTAGCGCTCCGTTGAATTCATGGTCACAAGTGTTGTTCGCGAATTTTGATAATGAACTAAATGCGAAAATTTGACGCATTTTTATATATTCATAAATGAAAGTATAATATATGTATACGAGTATGTACGAACCTACACTCACATATTTCTGTTGATGAGACGCGAAAATCTGTATAAAAGATACTAAAATAATCAAATAATCTTAGCCATTCCAGGTACTGCTACAAACACACATAATCTAAAGCCAGATGGCACATAATCTATAGATATGTGTAATTACAGTTATAAGGCACTTAATTGTAGCGTTTTGCAATCTGCTCGTTTTATCTGCCTCAAATAAGGCGTTATCTTATTCTTCAGAAGCATGCGCCAAACTAACGAAAATTTCCCTTAATATATACCCTAATTGCAAATTTTGCTTAGTATTTTCTAATTACATTAAGTTTCATAGTATTTGCTATTTGAGACCACCGACTATTATGAGCCATTTTTTTGTGCTCATAATGCTTACAGCAATACTTTTGACGTTAGAAAGTAGCGAATCGAACGAACAATTCAAGCTGCTTACACATATAAACTTATCCAAAATCTATCAAAATAAACTCAGTCGCATTGCAAAAATCACTCTGTGTAAATAGTATCGACTCTCTAATTTCGATGTTGCTTTACTGTAAATATTCTTCTTCCCCTTCAAGTCCTTCTCCATCTAATCTTTTGAACGGACCGGAAATCTGAATCTCAGAACTGGACTGTTTTCATCCATTTGGACGATATGATCTGCCTCTTAATTCGCTGAACTATTTCAATTTGGTCATATCTCGTACAGCACGTCATTCCATCGACTGCAATATTCGAAGTTGGCAATGCGCAAAGGATTAGAAATCTACTGCAGAACTTTTCTCTCGAAAACTCGTAACGTCGACTCATCAGGTGTTGTCATCAACCATGCCTATGCACCGTATAGTAGGACGGCAATAATAAGTGACTTATAGAGTTTATTCTTTGTTCGTCGAGAGAGAACTTTATTTCTCAATTGCCCACTCAGTCCAAAGTAGCACCTGTTCGCAAGAGATATTCTGCGTTAGATTTCCTGGCTGACATTGTTGTTGCTGTTAATGCGGGTTCCAAACTAGACGAAATTTGCTACAACCTCGAAGTTATGACTTTCAACAGTGACGTAAGAGGCACGTCGCGAGTGCGACGACTGTTTGTTTGATGACAGGAGATATTTCGTCTTTCCTCGTGCACTGCCAGACCCGTCTGCTTCGTTCCTTATCCAGTCTCATGAAACCGGAATTAACAGCGCGAGTGTTGAGACCATAATATCAATATCATCGGCATACGCCAGCAGCTATACACTCTTATAGAAGATTGTAACTGCTCGATTAAGTCTTGCCGTTCGAATTATTTTCTCCAAGAGCAGATTGAAGAAGTCGTATCAAAATTAGTCGCCCTGTCTGAAACCTCTTGGCATTTCTTAACGTCTGTTTACAAAGCCGTAATAGTTTTGTGGTGATACCAAATTCAGATTTGGCGCAAGGTGAGTATCTGGTCAGTTGTTGATTTTCCAGGACTAAAGCCATACTGATAAGGTTTAATCAATTTGTTGACGGTGGTCTTTCACACAGTACACTCGTACCTTATATGAAATGTTGAGAAGACTTTTTCCCCCGTAATTGGAATCATCCAACCATATCCTACAAAGAAGCTGATGCATTCATCTTATCAGTTCTTCGCCGCCGTTTTTGAGTAACTGAGCCGGCAATCCATCGGCCTCCGCTGCTTTGTTTCAGACCGGTAATTACTATTCGAACTTCTTCATGGTCGAGCAATGGGACGTCTGCTCCATCGTCATCAATTGGGGAATCGGGTTCGCCTTCTCCTGGCGTTATGCTTTCATTGCCATTCAGCAGGCTGAAGAAGTGTTCCCTTCATAGTAATAAGCTTTAGGCATCGGTTACTAGATCTCCTCCTTAGGTTCTTCAAGAGTATGCTCCGGTCTTGGAACCTCCTGTTAGTCGCCGCATTTTTTCGTAGAATTTTCGAGCATTACCCCTGTCGACCAGCTTGTCAAGCTCTTCATAGCCACGCAACTTTTATGTTTAATTCTTTGTTTTCAATGTACAAAACTCTTATTTTTTTCGTTAATGTACTATCGAGTCGCTCAATATCACTATTGCCTACTTAACAAAATGTAAATCTATGTTTTCAGTTTTAAGAAAACTTTTATATTAAACTTCTTGAACTCATTACTAGTTATAATTTTATAAAAAAAATTCCCCTTTGGGATTTACAAAGTCGTAATTTTTCGATTACCGTTTGATTATTATGATCTACCAGATAAAAAGCAGTTGGAAATTGAAGAAAAACGGTCTATAAAGCTTAAGAAATTTGTATACACATCCATATGTACAAATATCGAAATTATTTGTAAACTTCCGTATGCATTATTTAAGTTTAGGGAAATATATCAGTCGTTTTAAACCTTCATAATTTTCATTTATGATTTCATGTCTCATTTTATTCTTATGGTATCTTTGGATCTCTCTATAAACTTCGTCTTCACTTTCTATTTCTTTTGCATTGTAGGAATATCTAAAAAATTTCAACATTTCCGTTCCCATCGAAGAGTCTACTATTTTTGGTTGTGAAATATTAAACTTGTATAAATAATGCAGTAAATATACCTATTTTTCCAGTACCTATATGTTCTGTTAATAAATGTACGAAATTTGTTTTCTATACATTCCACTGCTTTCCTACTTCCCAAGTCACTTCTGGCCGATATGCGATACGAGGATACTACCTTGATTGCTGCTTGGCAGTTTACGTAGATGGTAGAGATGGAAGTGCCTGCAGGTGCATTAGAAGCCAGCTCCGCGGCTTTCGCAATTGCAAAGACCCCAGCTTGAAATATACTGCAGTAGTCCACCAACTTAAAAGGCTACCTTATGCCGAACTCTGGACAGTATATCTCCGCACCAACCCCCTAAATCCCCTTATTACATCCGTGAATTTCCAGTCTACAACTGTTTGAACCTTATATTTCTCATTATTTCTAGTATATCAACTTAAAGAAATTCGGTGTCAAAAGTAGTACTCAAATAGTTTGCCATATCAAAAGATCGTACGTTAGACCAACGACCTGAATTGACTTTTATATTGAAATCTTTTTTAAGTTTTTCCTACAGGGATTACTGATGGCGAAGCACAAAATCCTTTCGAACGCGTAACAACGAATGTGTGAAGGGTGAACGCGTATGACCTAGTTTCACTTGTACGCAACAGTCATTACAACTAAATACGTATGTGTATATGTACGAGTATTTATTCGCCTAAGAATGCTAAGTGCACTTGTAAGTTTTCAAAAACCAATTAAAGCCTTTCAATTGACCCAGTCTGTCGCCTTCAATCAAAAGCAGCTGCCACTGTTTATTAATGCACGAATATTTTTAACGCGAAGGTCTTCGATTTTAGCGCGTCATGGAATAAACATTTCTATAAGTTTTTACTGCACAAAAAATGAATCCATTCCGAAAATACAGTGGTGGACAGCAGATTAAGAATACCCAGATCAACCAAAAAATATGGAAAGTAGTATTTTTATAGCCTAAACAGGTTACGTTAAGATTTTTTTTATAACACCCAAAAGGAAATGTCGGTGACCCTAAATTTTATTTTTTTTTTTTTTTTGTTTCTTTTTGTATATGAGAGGGTGAAAAATGACATCCGCATCGTCAGTGCTGTCATTACAGCAACGATATGTGACCCTTTCAGGCCACTAAAAACCTTCTCTCTAAGGAACCGTCGCCCATCCTGAAACCACATTTGTATTACTTCAAGGTTGCACTCCAGTTTTCTCATTGAAAGATCTACATCAGCATCGTCTTCTGCCAAGACGTTGTATAGGTATGACGTATTTTCGACTTTTCCCATTCTGTGAAGATACTTTTTGAAATAACCGAGACCGGATAACAGGTGAGTTGTGTGAAAGTCGACTTCTCCGAATTTACAACTTGTCCATAAATTTAAGTTTTTTTTTAGTCTGGTACGAAACGTGTATTAAACTACTGGAACCTTTTTCAAAAACAATAACGAGTATAACTGCATTAATCATTTCAGGTATAAGACGTCGAAACTTTTCAACAATTTAGCGAATGCTGCTCCAAAAATAAGCCGAAGCCAAATTGAATGTGATGACACAGGACGTCAGTACTTTTTGAGAGCTGATTTGATATCCAATTTTGATATGTCAGCTAGTGGCAGGCCTCCTATATATCTGAGTACTAGTTCAGGCTAGACAGAAGAAAAGGAGGTCTTCCAGCGTCTCTCTCAGAACCATTTTCCTACACTTTCTGCATTTATCGTTGTTACTTCTGGCCATCTTTTTGCTAACACCCTGAAGCCTTCTCTCCAAAATAGAATGTGAGTATTTATGGACTAGGACCAGGTTCGAGTCCAAGGCTTATAGCAAATATATGGAAAACTGGATTAAGCGTTGGCATACTTGTATTGGCTCACGAGCCTATTTTAAAGTATATAGCAAAGAGTCTTATTATTTAATAATTCAGCAAAAAATGCGAGGGCCGAAAGCTTACATGGTTTCAAAACCAGGGAGTTCAAGCCTCCTTTTGATACCAATTCCGATTGAAACATTCCAGTTTATTATGCAAATAAAGTTTGGTTAATATATTTTTGCTGTGAGTTATATCATTTCGTATATATATACCAATATTCGAGCGCGCTCAAGTGACAGTTGATACCGAACTTCCAGTGCATCAAAGTGTTTATTCCTACAAAGAAAGGATGTCTATTCAAGGATATATGAGAACAACACGAGTTTTTCATGGAAATTTTCGCGCCAATTTTAGGTCAAGTGTTATGCATTCTGTTTCCGCAGGACGGTAAGTATTCAACCGAGTGTTGTGATGGTATAGAAAAATGCATTCAACTGCAATATTTACTACCTAATAACCAGAAAGCTTTTACAGGGGTATATTAAGTTTGGCACGAAGTTTGTAACATCCAGAAGAAAACCTCAGAGACCCTATAATAT